CGAATACTGCTCGACGGGAGGTAAACGTTTATCGACCCTAGACCTCGGCTGCAACTAAACCGTAGCCTCATCCTCATGGGCATCCGGAGCGAAACGACCGACCTCCTCTTAGCCTCCTCCCGCACCACCACCAGCACTACCTGCCTCCGCTGCGTCGGCGCCGCCACCTCCACCTCCTCCTTCGTCGGCCCCTACACCCTCCTCACCACCCTCTTCATCTGCCTCCAGCTCCTCGGCGGCGTCATCGCCTCGTCGGTGTTCCGCGCCCCGGTCGATGGGAGAGTTTATCTGTTGTAGAAGGAGGATACAAATTCGTTGAGAAGTGGGGGGGAGTATAATAAGGGGGTGGCGCCGATGAGGAGGTTGAGGTTGGTGGGGGAGGGGGTGGTGGTGTTGGATCGGGATGAGGATGGGGGGGATGGGCCGTTGGTGGAGGCGCCGGAGTTGGTGTGGGTTGGGGATGGAGGAGAGGGTGGTGAGGGTGTGGAAGGGACATATGTGTTGTTTTATAGTAATCATTGTTGGGACGGGCCGAAGTATAGTGTGAATTATGCGGTGGCGGAGGGGAATATCACGGGGCCGTATACCAGAGCGGATGGGCCGTTGATTCGGACGGGGGATGCGTTTAATATCACGGCGCCTGGGGGCGCGGCGAGCGTGCCGGGCGGTGGGTGGATGGTGTTTCATGGGAATTGTCCGGAAGGGAGGTGTTTGTTTGGCGCGGAGATGGCGGTGGTGGGGTCGACGGTTACTGTGTCGTGATGGTGTTTTGATTGGTTGGTTTGGAAAGGGATGCCTATCTCAGTGGTAACTAGGTATCTGCCTAATACGTTTGTTTTACACGACCCAGGTGTAACTGGGACTCCCATGTGAGACAGTTCTCGAATGTCTTGCAATCCGGGTCTAGAAATATTCACCTTGTCTTCAAGTAACTACCTCGCCATCAGCTACTGCCGTAATCGCATATATTTAGTTGTAGTGCCATGAGTCGCCTCCGGCTTGCGCTGAGCTGAGTCAAGCTGAAGGTGTTGAAACTCGGAAGAAGACCTCGCCGCCTCCTACATAGTAACTCTACCTCTCTCGATCGGCATAGAAGCGGGTCCGGGTTCGATACCCCGACGCTGCTGTGCGTCTTTCGCTGCCATCCCGCATCCGACTGTCGTTCACCTGGACAGCTTTAGCGCTCTGGCGGAGTTCATGTACGGCGTGCAGAGAAGCTGGAGGGGCTGTGGGGGAGGGTTTTGGTCGTAACCTGCAGAAGCTGTCGTCGGCAGAAACCAATGAGAAACGGCAGTGGCGCCCTGTTGGTTCGAGCTCCCGATCACCTTGCCAAGCTTGCGTTGATCTGGTTTAGTGTGCCTTGGCAAACCTCGAAGCGCCGGCCAAGACCTGCCCCGCACAACTCCCTGCTTCGACGAGTCGATTGGCTCGATCCTCGAGAAAACAAGGAAAATCATCGAAACGCTGCGGCCGTCCAGACGCAACCCGGGCTGTTGGGACCAGCGGCCTGTCGAGTCGGCCGATGCGGCCGGTGCTTGAGGCCGTCTGATGTTTGCTGCCTTGCAGGTTTGGCTTCGATTCGAGCACCGGTTGATGGAGGTTGGAAGGTTGAGTCAGTTGAGAGTCAAGAGTGTCGAGGGAGGGAATCGACATGGTATCGCGTTGAGTCCAGAATCGAGATGGATTAAGCGCGCGAGGATTCGCCCACACCATTTCTTCATTGTTAATAGATCGGTTGAACCAAAAACCAATCTGTGCCATTGAAAGGAACCGACGACCTTGATTGGCTTATCGACCACTTGACCGTTGCCGATTCCCCGGGAGCAGCCATGTGCCGACCGCCGGCCCTGAAGGAATCCAGCACCTCCCCAGCACCATGCCTGGAAGCGCATGGGGGCCAGCGGCTCACGGAAACGCTCCCAGCCCGTCACACCCCGATACGGCCTAGAAAAGGCTTGTCGGTGCCGTACCTGAGCATCCCTTCGCCGCCGAGCACGCTCCACTTGCCCCTTCTGCTCAGGCCCTCGAGGGCTGCATGCAGCTCGTCACATCCACACACCACCTCGTGAGCTCGGCCGTCCCATGGGCGGCACGGGAGAGTGTACACATGCAAAAGTGCCATATCTGCAAAGCTCCTTTTCTCCATGTCGTGCAACAAGAGAGAGCTATTTGAAACACAGCTCTGCCGCCCCTCATATGGTTCCCGGTCTCTCTTCCGATGGCCCTTGTTTAGTTTCGTCTTCTTACTTGTTTGCCTTCGACACTGAGGTGGGACGTCCTTCGCTTCGTTGGTCCTCCTGAATAGTGGACTGTCTTATTCTCCCACCCGTCCTTCTGATATCCCCGGCTGGACCTGGGCTTTATCTGACCCCTAATACTCCGGTCTCGGTCAGACCAGCACATCGACAGGATGGCGAAACTGGCCTTATACACACTCCTCGCCCTCTTATCGGGATTTCCACTCTCATCGGCACTCCAAGTAACGCCAAACTCGCCGTGCTCATCAGTATGTCGGGACTCACCCGACCTCGATGCCTCGGACCCCAATTCCTCCACCACAAAGAACTCCGACATCACTTGCGGAGATGCCGACTACTCGGGCCCCGCGGGTACCAAGTTCAAGAGTTGCATGACCTGCCTGCAAACCAGCACCTTCTCTCTGGGGAGTGAGAGTGACACCATGTGGTTTCTTTGTACGTCCTCTGGCTCCACATACCCAAACCCCTACTTACCCCTGAATTAGA